GCTGTGCCGCCCGTCGCCGCTCTGCGCCGGGGCGCTACCTGCCTGCGGGCGCCGCGCTCGTGGAAAGACGGGCGCCAACGTCTGCCCCCTTACACGCGCCCCGAAAGTCCTAGCGTGGTTTCCGCGCTAGCACGGCTGGCGCTGAGAGAGCACGGAACGTCTGCGGCAAGTTGGGAGCCCTGCTGCTGGCCTCTCTGCTTCCACGTACCGTCATCTGTCACCAGCGAGTTGTGCAGCCCCGCTTGGAGGGATGAAACATGAGAGTGCTATTGGGTTCGCACAAGAGCGATGTGTGTTCCTGATCCAGCAAGCGCTTGTGTTAAGGACCTGGAGACTTGGAGAGACCTGCCTCGCTGAGCCTGTGTGATGTCTTCTGTAACCTAAGAATCTAAAGCACTGGAACCTAATCAGATTGTGTAGAAGACAAGTTAAAAATGTGCTTTATATTTGCAGGGTTAGAGATCTAGGTTGTAAGCCCCTTTGGGCAGGGTTGTCATGTAGCAACCTTTATACCTGCCAGACAACTTAGTGAAGTTTTTAAAAGTCAGTAAAAGGTATGCCTGTAGCTCTAAACGAATCTTAGTTTCTTAGTGTCATCCCCTCATGAATGACCATCTTCTATTTTTGCTAACCAGCATCTAGATTAAGCCTTAGTCCTTTTGAGCACAGTGCTTTACTGTCGTGTGTAAGTTGCAAGATCTGGTCCAAGACTGTAAGCCCATCAAGTGGCAAGATTTTTTTTTTTAATTTATTATTTTTTACTGTGGAGCACAGTGCTGTTGTGCGTATACATAAATTCTGCTTACAAATTGCTATGCTCACTAGCAACAATTTATCAAGCAACAATTTATGGTGGTCAGAATGCTGATATAAAAATACTGTGGTTGGTGATTTCCCAGAATATTAGACAACAGAAGAATTAACTTGTATCCTTATTAATTTCTCCTATGTGTCTGTAAGCTTGAATTATTTGGGGCTCTGTTCTTTCATGTAAAAAACCACAACATGTTAAATACATTGTATGTTTTTTAGCATCAGCCAGTTATTTATAAAACTTGTGTATGTGCAGGGATACCCAAAGCGTAGGTAAGATAAGTTCCCTGTACTCAAGGTATTCAGATGTAACTAATATGGTGAGATAACTGTATCAGCTAGTCCAAACTAGCTGTGTGGTCTCTGTGATTTAACACTTGCAGATGTATGTGTGCACATGCACACACACACATGCACACACACAAACACACACTTTTAAGTGCAAACTGAGTTATCAGAAGGCTATTCTTTGAAAGTTAAGCTGGTCACTGACTGAAGAACTCTGAGAGAACTAGAGTGCAACTATTCTATAATGGCAGTATCCTTCTAGATACTAGCAACTGCTGAGTAGAATACCTCAATTAGAAGAGACCTGGAACTTAATGAGCTGGCAGGGGCTAAGGGTGCAGCAAAAGTCCTAGAAAAAAGGAATACTTTCCTCTGCTCCCTCTCCCAAGCTGACATTCAGAATGGCTGCAGTGGTAGTGTCTGGAAATGCATCAGAAATGCACCAGAAAGATGTACATCTTCACTCCAAAATCTTCAAATATTTATTCAAATATTTATTTCAAAAGATCAGAAATAATTCTTTTATGATGCAATGATTCCTGCCTGAGTTCTTCCTTTCCTTCACTACTTCTGAGATTCAAGGGTTTGGAATTTCTCTTTAAACATCACACTGTTTCCTACACTGGCTCCTGACAAAAAAGATCTTGACACAAGTTCTGTTTCAATTTTTTGTCATTTAAAAGTCAAACAGCCTTTTTTCTCACACTCTTTATACTTTTGTAAATAAGTTCATTCAATGATGTGAATATTTTACAAGGAGGAGGTTGTGTTGTTACCTCTTTTAAAATAAGAGAAAAACAGCTTCCATTGTGTTTAGTTAATTTAAGAAAAATTTCTATCCAGCCTGAAATATGAGCACGCAGAGACCAGGAGGTAGATTCCCTTCCTTTCCCACTGTCTTCCAGAGAATCTTCATTTGGTTCATAGGAAGTTTCCCATATTCCATTATGATTCTTCTTTCTGGGAGGGTTATTTTCGTTCTCTGTTTCTCAGACCTTTTCCTGTAGACGGGAACGGGGGAAGGAGCCCAGACGTGGCAACACATTCTCAGGCTCCTGCAGGACCGCCATGGCTTATGATGACTCCAGGAAGAAAGAAGGTATGACTGCTTCGTAATCTCAGAGAGAGTTGCCAGAAAAGGGTACCCTTAGCCGCCCTTTCCAGGCCACGGAGTCAGAGAGTGGGAGAGAAAGCTAATCTCTTGTGGAACATTGAAGGGTATTACCTTAAATTTAATCTAGTCAGGTTTTTGCGAGATCCCAAGCCCTTGACTTCCAGAAGTAAAGTATTGGGATTAGAACTTGAGAGAAACAACTGATGTTTCCTGATGTGAAGACCTTGCCGAGGTACTCTGCCACTGCAGCCTTGTTTCTCCCTGTCAGCTCAATGGAACAGGAGACCAGGGATAGGGATTTAGTCATGGCAACATTTCTATATTGAGTTATCTTTAGGAAGAAATATTCAAGCATTAGAAATGAAATCTTGAGTACTTGTGTTATATATAGCATTAGAGCACTGAGTCCTCTCCCCGTGATTAGGTAGTACAGCACATTATTTTTCAGGCCCCAGGACTTGTTGGGTTTTATGCAACCAACTGCGCCAGCTTTTGCTGCTGTCATATTTTATGCGTAGACCATATGTCTGTTGTTCCTTAATGGGGTATTTCGTTTCTTCCTTGTTTCCCCATTTCACATACATCTTAGAGTACCTAGAGAGTGACCGAAGTGTTGATGACGTGGGGCTGGCAGCTGGCAGGACACAGCGAGAGAGAAAACGCTGTTACCAGGATCTACTGCAAGAAGAGGAAGAGATAGCAGCTCAGGTCAGGAAGCTCTCAGAGAAAAGGTTGAAGGTGTAAGGATGTGTATAAAGCTACTGATGGGATGGTATGGGAGGGTTTGTTGTTTTTGCCTGTGTAGAAGTTCCTGTGCAAGATAGCAAGAGTAGCTAATTAAGTGTCCTGTATTGTTCAGTAGCTTTTCTGTGGAAAAGGAGGGGGTAAATCCCAGATACAGCTGATCTAATTTTTCTGACCTCAGAAAATAGGGAAGTGGGGTCTGATCTTAGCCGTGGTGCAGAACCTTGCCAATCATGAGATAGCATGAATGACTTTACACACAAAAATAAAATTTTTAGAATTTACAATTGTATAAACAGCCAGCAAAGGATGAATAAAATATTAACTGATGCACTGTTGTCTTCCTGATTCTGCAGACAGCCTGAAACGATAGCTTTTGAGAGGTATGAACTTGCCCTATTCATCTCCTTGGGGCCTTAACACTGAAATCATGTAGCGACAACTTAAGTTTCTTCAAAACTTTCCTCTTTGAGCTAAAATTTCTGCTGTCAGCTCAAAGGTGACTGTCTTATGATTGTTTTTTAAATTTTTTAAGTGTGAGAGAAGAAGTTCTAGCTTAAATGAAAATCTTCTACCATGCAGATGGAATTCTGCAGAGGAGCTTCATTTTCAGACTAAATTGGTCAAGCAAAAAATTATAATTGGATGACATGAGATATGAAGGGCAATTTTTCAGCCCATCATTTCACTTGTCACCTCTCTCTGCCTCCTTTCACTTCTTTTCTCTTCTTCAGCATATTAAATATGAGCTGCTCACCTTCGTTTTCAAGGCTTGACAGCCTATGTGTGCTTAGTTATTTCTTAGCCCCAGTAATATGTAGACTTCTGTCTTGGATCAACTCGTCAGCTGATTTCCAGATGCTGGCTTTCAGTGCCTGTTTCTTAACACTTTCAAATGTGCTCTTCCATGTTTTCTTCTGTATTACTCCTCTCATTTGGGAAGAGCTCCCTGTAGAGATCTGTCTTCTTCCAGTTTCCTTCTTATACTTCTGTTTTGCTACAATGCCTACAGAAAGCTTGATGCCAGTTAGGTGGCTGATGTGCTGAAAGCAGTGCTGACTAATCCTATGTTTTATACTCTCCTGTCTACCCGTACGTTGCTTGTTGTCTCTTGCCTTATCCCTAAACTTTGGGATCCTGGGGACAGATAATGTTTCCTCTGTATAGCACCTTAGCACCTAGAATAAGGATCCTGGTCCATGACTAGGGTTCCTTGGCATTACAGTAGAACCAGTAACTCTGATAACTCTTATGAATTAGAAATGTCAGTAGTCCATTTGAATCTCTTATAATTTCCCTCTTCTTTGTTCAGCAGCTTCTCTGCTCTTATTCTAGGACAGCAAGCTCGTCTTTCTGGGGACAGAACCTCACAAAAAGAAGCGAAAGCATTCCTCCGATGAGTTCAGCTACAGAGGTAAGTCGGTAATCAGGCAGGGGAAGGTGCTGACTGATGATGACTTGGAGGAAAGTGAGCTCATCAACCAATGTCAAGTTTTGTGGTCAGCATTTTCGGGAGGGGAAGTACACCAACCTGTCTTAGGACAAGTAATCAGAAACCTGATCAGAATACTGCACCAGACAGCAAAAGATAAGGACTGATAGTTGCAGATTTTAGCTTAACAAGTTGCCGTTATTAGGGCTACAGCTTCCATCCATCCTTTCATTATCAAGCTGTAGTTTTCTAACAGAAGCTTTTTTGACTTTTGTATTTCTTTCTTTCTCTGTTGTATTACAAGCTATGATTTTATTTGCAGATGGTATTTATTTCTTTGAATTTGTAGAAATAGAATGCGTCAGGGCATAAGAGGAATGTTTTTGGGGTTCAGTTTAAATACAGAGATGTTATTCTCATAGATAATAAACTGGCCAGAAAATGACAAATCGGTTCATAACAGCTTAAAAGGTTTAAGATTTACTTTTGTCCTAATGCAAAAAGAAAGCCAAGTCTTTGGAATATTTTTACAAATTGAAATTTTGTTAAAAAGCTGCTTTCAGAATGAAAAAGCTCATGTTTCCATTCATTGGTCTCTCCTTGGCTAAAAGTAACAAGAAAACCTTGTGCTTGAGATGTAATATTTCAGATTTAAAAAGGTATATTCTCATCAAAATATGCTATTTCATGATAGAAGATTGAGTCAGACAAAACTTCAGGAACTTGCTTGGTATTTGTTTCTTCCTTAAATTGTTTGAATTGTATCAGCAAGACTGCACTGAGATGATAACAAGTTTCAGAGATCTCCTTAAACCAAGATGCAGATCAGTTAGCTGTACTCAAACTATTGCAGGATTCCCACTTCACTTCTTGAGCTAGTGTAATGCTATCTTTAAGGGAATCATCTGGATGTACATTTCTGTTGATCTTTTTCAGATCTTTCGCCTTTGGATCTACCATCAAAGAAGAAGAAAAAAGCAGTTTCCAGCCCACCCTCTGCTGATACGACCATGGATCTACTCAAAGCTATCACCTCACCTTTGGCCACTAGCTCAAAGTCTTCAAAGAAAACCTCTGAAAAATCATCATCTTATTCTTCCTCTGGCCATTCTGAAAGTAAAAAGGAGCACCACAAGAAGAAGTTGAGTGGAAGCAGTGGGGAGCACTCACTGGATGATGGCAGCTACCACAAATCTAAAAAAATGAAACCTCTCTATGTGAACACAGAGACACTTACTCTTCGTGAACCTGATGGCTTGAAGATGAAGCTCATCCTTTCGCCAAAGGAGAAAGGAAGCAGTGCAGCAGACAATGAGTCTTTCCCCTACTCTTCACCACCAGCAACTGCAAAGAAATCTTCAAAGAAATCAGCTCGAGATGAGCAAGGCTCATTCCTTCTGGGTCATGAACTGCAGAGCTTCCTGAAGTCATCCCGGAAGAAGCACAAGCCACCTCCCGACCCACATCCACCTTCCGAGGGGTTTGGTGCTGACACCTCCTTTTCAGAGGGCCACGGGAGTGAATGTGACATTTCAGGTCTGGAGGCACCACCAGAATCTGGTTCATCCTCTGGTGGGGAGTTGGAGGCTGGAGAGCTAGTGATAGATGATTCCTACCGGGAAATCAAGAAGAAGAAGAAGTCGAAGAAAAGTAAGAAAAAAAAAGACAAGGAGAAACACAGAGAAAAGAAGCACTCTAAATCTAAGAAGAGTTCTGGACACCCTGTGGCAGTAGCAGAAGTAACAATGTCGCCGCCACCTCCTACCAGTACTCCTTATGTTCTTCCTCCACCTCCTCCTGTTTTTCACTCAGATGGGCAGGGTGAGAAGAAGAGGAGGAAGGAAGACAAGGAGAGAGAAAAAACTGAGAAATGGGAGAAAGAAAAGGAGAAGGAGAAAGAAAAGGAGAAGGAGAGAGAAAAGAAGGAGAAAGAAAAAGAGAAGGAGAAAGAAAAAGAGAAGGAGAAGGAGAGAGAAAAGGAGAAGGAGAGAGAAAAGAAGGAGAAAGAAAAAGAGAAGGAGAAAGAAAAAGAGAAGGAGAAGGAGAGAGAAAAGGAGAAGGAGAGAGAAAAGAAGGAGAAAGAAAAAGAGAAGGAGAAAGAAAAAGAGAAGGAGAAGGAGAGAGAAAAGGAGAGAAAAGGAAAGAGAAAAAGTAAGGAAAAATAGGAGGAAAGATAGAAATTGGGATAGACAGAGAAGAGACTTTAAAGTTTGGTAATGATAAATTAGGTGCTCAGTGTTGCAGAAATCATGAAGGAATTCATTACCGTTATTTCAGAACCTAGGTTTTCAAAGTGGTAGATTGCAGAAACCGCAAAGTTTGGAGGGTGTATGACAGTGATGGTAGAAATGATACAATTTATTAGCCTAAACTGCTGTAGCTGAAAATGTTAAACAAATTTTTAGGGTGTATGTGCACAAAAATTTGTCTGATTTCTTTCAGCAGTAACAATTGGCCTAGTAGGAACTACCTGTGCCTACCTTATTTTGTCTTCTGTTTAAAGATATTTATAACTTGCACTGTTGTGAAAATAGTTGTATTGTGTCAAGTGCCCTATCCGTTTCAGAGGCATGTTATATTAAAACAGAAGGATAACTAATATCAGCATTAATAGTTTTGTTGCAGCACATTTGGCAAAAATGTTTCAGCTAATTTGATTTCTTTTTGTAACAAAAGTAATATAAATCATTGTTCTTTGTGGCATAGGCCAGTCTTTAGCTGACAGGGGTCCTTTGAAAAGATTATACTTAATTTACTTGGCATAGATCATGCCACAACTATGTCATTTTCTAAGGTAACTCACGGTAGCTATTGCCAAACAGGACTTTGGACAAGGCTGGCAGTGATCTAGTCCATCGTGACAGTTTCTGCAAAACGGAATCAAGCTCCACTCTGAAGTGTGAAGATACTTACCCATTTATTCCTGTATTAAAATGAAGTTCTAATTCTTTCACGCTACCACATTCCCAGTTTTGTCCTGTACTTACAAAATCAGGTTTTCGTGGCTAACTTTGAAATGTTTGAATAGGAAAAAATGTAGCTAGCACAGAATGAGATTTTCAGATTACATAATTTTAGCTGTGTAAGTATGTAAAAGTGGAAGAACAGTTTTTGTATTTCTATATAGGAAAGAGTTGCTTTGTGTTAGGAAACGGGCAGAAGTAGCCCAAGTTTGTTCAACTCCATTCTATTCAGTAAGTCACAGCTTACTATCCGATCACAGCTTGGCAGCTGCTTATGCCTCTAACTGTCTCCTTTCCTACCACTATGAAATGTTTTGTAGGGATGCAAGGAACGGGACAAAACGTTAGAATGAGGATTGAAATTGTATGACAGACCTGTGATGAGCATTGTGAATAGTATAACAGATTTTTTTTGTTTTTTAAGTTTTAAAACTGAGATATATTAACGGAGTTGTACGTTGATCCTGGATTTAGAGTAGCAAGTTATGAGTTATGAATGAAATGCATTGATAGAGTTATTGCAAGATAAGCTTATATTAAGACTGTTTCTGGCCAGTTCCTGTGCTTTCATAACTACTAAATTCAGCCAGAACATCTAAAACACTGCTTCTTTAGGTTACAGATCTAAGCACAGTAGCTTTCTTTACGACTTCTATAAATGCCAATTTATTATTAATTCAAGTAGGTATCATGGTAATTAAAATTCTTTGTTTTTTTTTCTTCTTCTGACTAGCCAAAGAAGAAGAACATGTCTGCCTATCAAGTGTTCTGTAAGGAATATCGTACAACTATTGTGTCTGAACACCCTGGGATAGGTGAGAGAATAATCTAGTCTTGTCTTCTGTTGATTGTACACCTGCCAGATTATTTATCAGGACATATCTTCTCTGTGTCATACCAAGCTCTTAGTTTTGATGGAATGTGAAGAATGCTAATTTTCTTTGAACAAGAGGCAGCAAAGAGGGTAGGAATTGATGTCATGATTTGATTTCGTTGTATTTTAACCAAGCTGTGAATCTGGATAAAAAATTTGCCAGTTCTCCCTTTTATTTACTTGCAGACTTGTCTCTGCAGGTTGATTGCATCACTTTTCCATATATACATGTGGTCTTATATTCCCTATATCAGCTTTTCTCATTTTAGTCAGTGATGGAACAACACACTGGAAATATTTTCTTGGGCAGCACAGAGAGTTCTCAGTGTAGAACAGGTTGTTTCCTAGATGTGTATGCATGGGCCAATTATTTCACTGTCAACATTCATATAAATTTCATAAGTTCTCTCCTTGATTTTATTATTTCATGCATATTAAACATTTTTCTTCTCTTCTGCCAGATTTTGGAGAACTGAGCAAAAAACTGGCAGAAGTGTGGAAGCAGCTACCTGAGAAGGATAAACTGGTAAGTCTATGTGAGATGTTTTTGTAAAATGATTTCTCTTAACTAGGTGCTTAGGTCAGAACATGCTGGCAGCATTGCCACCGTCCCTGAAGTACAGAAAAATGGGTGTCCTGCCTTTATGGTTATAAAAGCATCCATTTTATCCTTATGGTATTGCTCGACAAGTTAGCTACATAAAGTCATTCTATCTCCAGGTTCTGGCATCAAGTAACAGAATTACCTAATGTTGTGACTCTCTCTTTTCATACCATGATAACTGCAGATCTGGAAACAGAAAGCTCAGTATCTGCAGCACAAACAGAATAAAGCAGAGGCCACCACTGTGAAGAGGAAGGCATCATCTTCAGATGGTGCACCAAAAGTAAAAGGTAATTGATGTGCCTTGTTTGCCCAAGTCTTTTTTTGGATAGGGGAGATAGTGTTGCTTGTGAAGTAAAGAACAAAGGTTCACTTCTGCTTCCCTCTGCCTGCTTTCTCACAAGTCTTGGCATTTTTTTAAGTTATATTTTACTCAAAAGCAAAGAGTGATGTCAGCCTATTTCAAAAAAAAAACAACCCAAACCCTTCCTTATCTAATTCCAATTAGAAGAACAGGGATTTTTTTAGCACTTCAGGAATTGAAACATAAAACAAGAAGAGGCAGCAGGGAACTTGGAGTGGGACTAGCATGCTGCAAGAGGAAAAATGGTTGTGCTTATTTTGTCATTGCTGTTTACCAAATCTCCCTAACCTACAAAACTGCATTCAGCTGCGGTAGATGCTTTACACATGCAAAAGGGAAGTCTTGGCTCCCAAGACCACAGGACCAGATCCACAGAACTATTTAAGCATCTACTGCTTTTGAGATTTGAACTTTATTATGTAAATAGACTTGTAAGTAAAAGAATGAGAGAAAACAGTATGGAATTTTAATTAGTGTGTTTCCAGCTTCTCCAACAGGCGTGCTTTCTTCTCCTCATAAAAAATCCCCCTCTAGCACTGTGGTGGTGTCTGTCTCACCAGCCAAAGTCCCTGAGACAGATCCTATTGATGTAGCTGCGCACTTACAGTTGCTAGGTGAATCTCTGAGCCTCATTGGTCACAGACTGCAGGAAACAGAGGTGAGTTTTGAACCAGTAATGTCTTGGTGATTTCATGTAATCCATACATAGGATTGCTTTTTTATTCTTAACATTTTAATTTACTTAAAAGGTTAGGCAATCTTTTTGTATTAGGAAGAGAAAGATGGAGTGTCCTGGTTCTTTGATGTATTGCTGCTAATTTTCGGTGAAATAAAAAGCCTTGTTTGTCCGTATACATTAAGTATCAAAGACAGGTCCCCGGCCTTGCAGCTCTAGGCCCTTTAAGGCAGTTCTTAGCTCAACGAACTCTTCAGACTTTTCTTACTATATATTCACCTTGGATCTAGGATTGCCTTTTCTGCCTTTGCCAGCCTCTGATCCAGTTTCTGTTACCCTCTCAAGCTCTCTGAGAAAGCTATCAGAGAAAGCCTTTATCAATGATGCTTTTTGCACGTGCTGCTGCTCTCTGCTAGTATCCTGTTCCTAGCGCATTAGATAGGGGCTACTAATGTTTCAACTTACCTGATAACATAGAAGATGTGTTGTTCTAATGGTTTCCTACAGTTAGATGATATTAGTTACACACACATACACGCGCACACGCTTTCAGAACTTGGCCCAGCCTGTAAGGAGAACACATATTTAGCTCAAATATTAAATATCAGTGAATTTGATGGCTAACACAATCATATTTTCCCACTTTATTTGCTTGTTTTATCAACGGTAAAACAAAAGCGCTTGTATTTTGTTTCTGGTTTGACTTCATTGAGGTTATTCTTCAGAGGAACTATTCTGGAGTAAAAGTCTCCCCCTTCACAAAAGGCCGTGCAAAAAATTCCCTTCCCTAGAAGTGTATCGGTCACTAAAGCATTTTCTGCATCCTTAACATTTCTTTAGGCTTTGAAAATAAAACAAAACTATCAACAGAGATACTGCCTTTTCGGGTTGGTGTAGCTAACACAATAGATGGTAGGAAACGGCAAAAAAACTACATTGCAAAAATTGTGGAATTAAGTGGTTTACAAAACTGGCAACTGTCTGGCCTTGTTTTCTGGTTTTCTCTACTTTTATCCTACATATGCCTGTTGCCTCTTGAACTCTTAAATTTTTTGAACCAGCAATCTCTGTATGTGAAGTGCTTGGTGTAGTTTTGTTACTGTGTAAATAATGAAAGTAAACTAGGCGACCACAAGAGTGAGCCTATATTACTTGCATGAGAATCAATACAGTAGCCAAAGGACTGTGATTTCCAGTACTTGTCCCTATCTGTTTTTTTCTTTCTTTGCTTCCAGGGAATGGTGGCTGTTTCAGGAAGTTTATCAGTACTTCTAGATTCCATCATCTGTGCTTTGGGCCCGTTAGCATGTCTGACAACGCAACTACCTGAGTTGAATGGCTGCCCTAAGCAAGTTTTGGTGAGTTCTTGGCGGTTATTTCCTTTTGAGACCTGTTAATTTCAGTGGAGTTCACCTGGAGTTTTCTGATAAATCAGTCTTTTAGTGTGCTTATAATTCCAGTGCTACAAAGATAAGAAAATTGTCTTGCTTATACAGTTTTTAGAGGGATATTTCATAAAATCTTTAAGATGTTACTGCTGTACAGTATTGTACAACAGTTTTTTCCAGTAAAAACACAGCATTTAAAGCTTCAGGGGAAACCGATGTAACATTTTTTCCATTGATTGCAATGTTTATCGGTTCTGTTTTAGTGCCTGAATTAATCCATCTGAACCAAATAAAGTACCTCTACACATACCACTATTTTTGAAAGTTCTAATTTTGCATGATAATTAAAAAGCCCCTTCCTGCTGCTCTGTATGCACACATTCTGTTTCTTTTAGCAGCGTAAAAAATAACATGCTATCTCAATTAGGATTCCTAATGTGATTGAGTTTACATGTGGCTCTAACCTTCTCCAATGAAAGGAAAATAGTCTTTGTTTTAAGGAACTGGATAACAGCTACAAATTCTTTCCACCTTTTCTATTGAGACCTAATTTAGCAACAGCTTGTGGCATCAATGTAGCGTGATGTGGACACAGACTAACATGGCAATGGCACAACAAGAACCAGGAGTCATACCTACAAACAGAAGCCATGAATAAAGCACAGAATGGCGTGGAAGAGAGGAGGCAGAGCAAAAATGAAAAATACATAGTCTGCAAAAATACGCTGAGAAAGTTAGAGATTAAAAACAAATTTGATAGAGAGAATAATGTAATAGGATATGAATTGGCATGTTTTATGGGACAGCCCAAACATTGATTCATGCTGAGAAGGGATTATTATCAGCAAAAATGTTGACAGCTTAGGCTGTGAGCTCCCACAAAGTGGCTGTCTACACAAAAGCTGAGTCAGCAGGGTGTTTCCATCCTAAGCCATGGAAAAACGTCCTATGTTTTTTTCCTTCTTGCTTGCCAAGTGTAGTCAGAGCAATGACACCCCTTTTCCACGTGACTAATGGTGCATATCTTGGAAATGTGATCACTGTATTGTTATAAGGAGCAATTGAGCTTTTGGTGGATTAAGGTACTTACCATTCACTTCTGAGAACTATTATCAGACTTGATAATAGATTATTCTAATTTTTACTATCAGATACGTAAAGATAGCAATGTTTAAGACATGGATAAAGTTGTCAGTGCTAGTGCTGCAGGTAGTATGCAATTTATCTTTCCAGTCAGTAGGTGGCATTGCTGAATTCTAGAATCACAGTGCAGATCCAGCTCCTCTGTCTTCAATAAAAAGACAGTTATTAAGGTCTCCTTCAGCCATCTAGTCACAGGTTTGAGGTTGCTGGTGTACTGCATTTGAAGAATATACAGATAATGCTGCTGGGTCTTGTTTTCTGATATGCACGGGAAGGACTCTTACTTTCAGAATTCTAATATTTGCAGGGAAAACTGGAGGGCACTAGTTTTTCCCATCTGACACCCTATTAGTAGGTGTATTTGAGGCTTTTTCTCTGTACTTTTACATTGCAGAGTTTCATAAATGATTTGTGTTTGTAGAATCAATTTAATTTTATTTTGTTAATGTATTCTACTACTTTGATCACTTTGCTCAAGTCTTTCATTACAAGTCTTCCCAGTGGTTACTGTGATTTGACTGATGTGGCTTGCTCAGGATTCAGGGTAGAGTATGGGGTTCATAAGGAGGATGTCACTTGAGGGAAGTCTTAAGTGTTTTCTTTGTTTCCAGTTGCTTCCAAATACCAAGGCTACTTTTGTGTTTAATTTACTTATATTTCCAAGAATGTGGAAATTAGCCTACCAGTGGTAGTGATGACTAGGCAATAGTCGTATGGTCTCATCATATGGTAATTTATAAGACAGTGAAGATGCTTAATAACCTCCTTATCTGTGTCATTTCTGAAGGATTTTGAGTCATTATCTGATGTTAAACAATATTGAATTTCTTTTCCCAGTCAAACACACTAGACAACATTGCCTACATCATGCCTGGACTTTGATAGGAAGAAATCCTGGGATGTGCTCAACCTCTGCATAACTGACTTGCGTGCATATGCACTACGCCGGCACTCTCTAAGGGCTCCGTGTGTAGGATTTTAACGTTTTATATCTGTATACTATATACATAGGATTGTAACTATTTGACTTCTATTAATTTCATGAACAGTTGTGAATTTAAGCTGAGAGAACCCTTTTATGTTGGTGGATGAAATGTACTCCAATTTGAAAGTATTTTTATGAAGAATTCAGAAAGCGTTTGAGATACTAGCCTTAAATTCAGATCTGTTAGTGGGGGAAGCACCCACTAGAGAATCGACTTCTAGATATAAAAAACAAAATATTAAGAGTGGTTGTTGGAACAGATTGTCCAGAGAGGGTATGAATCTCCATCCTTGATGTTATTTAGAAACTGACTGAGCAACCTGCTCTAGTTAGACTTTCTTTAAGCAGAGGTTGGACAAGATGACCTCCTGACAATTATTCTGTGGGCAGTTAGAGATGCTAATTTATTGTGGACCAAGGAGTAGAACTGAACTCTTCACCAGCCCTGTTTCTAACTTTTTCAGTATAAAATCTACTGCTTGAGGGAAAAGCTGGATAGCTGATAAAAGATATAGAGGTCTTCACCTCTGAGTCACAACTTCCAAGCTTCCCTCTTCAGTGACTGATGACTGAAAGTTGTCAGCGTCAGCTGGCTGGTCTGGTAGCTTGCATTTGGTTTGAAGGTGAAGATGGCAAAACATTTGTTCTTTTCTTGTGGACTGGCATCCAAATTGCCATTAGCGTGAGGTATCAACAGACTGCACTGGCTTGTGAGAATGAACCTCCTGCTGATTTTTCCAGGGCTTGGTCAGCCCACTTTCACAGAATCACAGAATCACAGAATGGTTGAGGTTGAAAGGGACCTCTGGAGATCATCTAGTCCAACCTCTCTGCTCAAGCAGGGTCTTCTAGAGCATATTGCCCAGGATCACATCCAGACGGGTTTGGAATATCTCCAGCAAAGGAGACTCCTCTCTGCAACTACCTCTCTGGGCAACCTGTTCCAGTGATCTGTCGCCCTCACCGTGAAGAAGTTTTTTCTCAGGTTCAGATGGAACTTCCTGTGGTTCAGTTTGTGCCCGTTGCCTCTTGTCCTGTCGCTGGGCACCTGTCTCATCCTCTTGACATCCCCCCTTCAGATACTTATACACGTTGATCAGATCGCCTCTCAGTCTTCTCTTCTCCAGACTGAACAGGCCCAGCTCTCGCAGCCTTTCTTCAGAGGAGAGATGCTCCAGTCCCCTCAGCATCTTTGTAGCCCTCCGCTGGACTCTCTCCAGTAGCGCCATGTCTCTCTTGTACTGGGGAGCCCAGAACTGGACACAGTACTCCAGGTGAGGCCTCACCAGGGCTGAGTAGAGGGGCAGGATCACCTCCCTCCACCTGCTGGCAACACTCTTGCCTAATGCACCCCAGGATCCCATTGGCCTTGTTGGGCACACTGCTGGCTCATGCTCAACTTGTCCACCAGGACTCCCAGGTCCTTCTCTGCAGAGCTGCTTTCCAGCAGGTCACTCCCCAGCCTGTCCTGCTGCATGGGGTTATTCCTCCCCGGGTGCAGGACCCTGCACTTGCCTTTGTGGAATTTCAGGAGGTTCCTCCCCGCCCACCTCTCCAGCCTGTCCAGGCCCCTCTGAATGCAGCACAGTCTTCTGGTGGAGAGGAGAGTGGTAGCAGATGGGAGAAACCTGGATTGCTTCTGTTCGTCTTGCATGTGTTTTGTGAACACAGGACTTGAGTTTCTGAGATCGCTGATCCTATCCCTTTCACCAGCAGTATTGAAAGAGCCACGGTGCTGCTGTGAGGCAGTGACTAATGACCAGTTTTAAGCAGTAATGGCTGAGCAAGGCACATGTCAGTTGATTGGACTGATTCCCCTTCCTTCCAGCCACATACTTGGTATTTTGGTTTTCTGCTCCTCTAGAAGAAGAGCTGCAGGAGAGCACTTGATTCTCATATAGGTTTTTGTGTGTCTGTATGTATGTGTATGTAGTGTTCATATCATGTGTATTTAACTTTTACCAATATCTGTAACAGATTTTAATTTATCCTGTATATTTCTGTGTGTGTGTGTGTGTGTGTGTGTGTGTGTATATATATATATATGTATATAATTTAAAAGCAAAAATCCCTCCCTCCACCAACAGTGTGTGGAAAACACGAATCAGGTGTGCGTCACCTCACTTCCTGCAGGCATCAGCTATACGTGCAGTAGCATGCATTGGTTCTGTATGGGGAAACAGCAGCAAGACTTTAAGTGTTTGTAAAAAACAAGACTATCTTGTGAAGCTAGGTAGAAGCTGAAATAGAAAGCTTTTTAATTTGACCCCAGGATCTCCAGCCCTTATAGCATAAAAGTTTCAAAATGATAGAAGAGCACTTTTGGACTACTTCCAATTTGAAGTGTAGTTTCTCTTTTTCAGGGCAGTTGAAAGTGAGCTGTCCCTCATTATGGCTGAGTCCCAAATCATATTTAAATTAAATCCTCAGGTGTGCAGGAGGGTTTTTCTCCCCGTTCCTCTTTACCATATATTCCCCAACTGTGCCAGTGCAAAGCAGTCTGTCTGTTACAGACCTTTTCTCAGTTCAATGTTGTTTTCTCAGTAAATTAAGTGGATGAAGCAGAAGATTCTGAAACTATCATGTCAATTCTTATCTGAAGCCTCAGACCACAGAATACCTGTTTGGACAATATATGACTAATCACAGAGATCTTGGAATTGGGAAGAGGCTTGGGAGGGAGGCAGTCTAATTCAATTTGTGATCCTGGACCCTTACTAAAGCATCTGCTATTGGGAGTGGCACAAAGTCACTGGCTCTTTCCAGCTCTTTACAACTGAGAGCATTGTGGTAAAGGGCTAGATCTCTAAGAAACAGAAGGAGATCAGCTCTTGCTTTGTCATCTGTACAATTGAAAACTCTTGAAGAGTTTAAAAACACACACAACCCTAGTGTATTGTATTTTTATTTAAAATTTGTACACTTTGTATAATCTGTATCTTGTGGTATTTGGTACTAGAGGGAAAACTTTGGTGACACTTAGCAGTTTTTATATTTTTGTTATTTCCTTGCTGTTTGATCCAGATTACATTACAATTATATAAAGAAACTCTTTTGTACTGTACTTAACAATATAATTTTTTTTAACATTTGGAGTGTTGTCATTCATTTCTAGTGTTTACTATGTTTTCTTGCAACAGTTGTTCCTACTAGTATTTCGTGTTTCTCGGCAAAACACTTTTAATTTTAAATTCCTTCATCTCAGTTGTTTTAAGAACAAGCAATTCTAGTTCTAATAGCACAGTTCACCTGAAATACCACTCAAAGAATACTGACAATTTGGAGACCTTCCTGAAGGGAAAGATAACATCTAGCATGGCAAATCCTACAGCATGGGGCATTTTTCTTCCCTGTTCTCTCATTTCAGTTCACCTTTGTGGTGTTAAGGTGAAACAGTACAGGGGACTCAAGATCAAGACAGTGAAAGGAACTACAGGCATGGCAAAGTTAGATCATAATCAGTGCTAGTTCTTAACATGTCCCCATTTCCAGGGTCTGACAGATGCACTGGCCACTTACACCCTCAGCGTGTGTGATGTCCAAAGACATAAGGCTGTTGCAGAACGTGATACTTTACTAGCCAACTTGTATTCCTTGTTTTAAGTACATTTCAACAGAAGTTTATGGAAAAATAAAAGCCAATAACTACATGCTTTCACGCATTTCAATGCAGCTCTAGGTAATGTTTATTCTGCATAGATACAGAAGAGCATTTGAGGAAACTGTTCTAGTGTTTCAGTAAGAAAATGGTAGCAAAAAGATAACATCAGTAGCCACATCAGCCTGTCTTGGTGCCACACTGTAAATAGCTGTGAAAGAAGGTAGGAAGAACGCGTGCAGGGAAATCGTACTTGTTGGTAGCTGGGCTCTTCAAAGCTGTGGCTGCAAACAACTGCCTTGTCTACTAAAATAGCATTCAAAACCTCCCCGCAGGGAAAACGCACGGTGGACTTCAGCCCCACTGGTGAACAACAGCCACGACCAACCGCTCAAAGCGGTCAGGTTAGAAAAGCGCTCC